GGTGATTCTATATTCTGGGGTTATATTGTACCCATCAGGAGCTTATAAATGAGGTATCACTCGACCCTCCATTCTATTTAAAAAAGGACCAAAATGCCGTCCAGCAGCCATCTTGAAATTCCCAACAGCTACTTGCACCATAAAATAAATTTGCATGCATAAATTTCATTGCCCCGAATTTCAGCTTGTAGGGTTTTTTTTGGGAGCACTGTGTGTGAAGCACTGTACACACTACCCCCCTTCTGTCACCCTCTTATAATTAGTATCTAAAATAATTAAAGCGTTAATACATACAATATGATTGTAAAACATTTAATGTTCAACATCCTATAAAAAAACAGCTATTATATTCTTATGTTAATATGATTTTTTTCATCGGCAATAACCTGTAGGTCATGTTTTCAAATGTAATTCAACCATTAAGCAATGCACCGTATGTAACCATTTTCGTAATTTAAAATATTAAAGCTACGCGAAAATTCCATAGAACATTGAGTAAATACTCCAGACCGTTTAGGGCTTAAGCTGGATGCTACGAGGTCTGTAAGTTATGTGATGAGATTGATTTTTTATTTTCCTTATTCAAATATAATTACAATTTTATATTGTCACCATCAAAATAATTTCCTTCTGAAGCCTTAGAGCGCTGGAGGCGGTTCTTTCACTCCTCATAAAAGTGCTGTAACTCCGATACTGGATTAGCTTTTAGCCTTATTGGAAAAATTTCGACTATCCCAAAATGGATTTCCTTGAGGTGATTTTCAACTTGGAGAAGAGACAAAAGTCGCACGGACTTGAGTCAGGAGAATAAGGAAGCTGAGGAGCCACATTACTGTTTTACTGGCCAAAAGATCGTTTATTGACATTGCTGTGAGCCAAGGAGCATTATCGTGATGCAGCACCCAGTTGTTTTTGATCTTTTGATGAACGGTGGCCTGAGTCAAATTTAACTGTCTCCCGACCGTTGTGATTCTCAACCGACGACAGGATTCTGTCGATATTTTTATCGGTTCTTCAAGATGAGGGCCTTCCGCTTCGTAATTCAACTTCAATCTACTCCCTCCCTTAAGAAAATGCCTGAAATCACCGAAAAACCTGGGCTCTTGACAAAACGCTATCTCCTGAGTGTCAATTGCACTGTGCCAAAGTCTGAAGCAAAACCTGATAGCACACCGTTGCTTGAAATTGATGTCACTCATTTTTAGAACACAATAGAAAAATCTGTTAGACTCGAGCGAGTTCTAACTTGTACTGAAGACGAATCACATGTTCCCTGTCTCCCCTCCAAGTCCGGCGACTCGAGAGTTGCCAGATCGTACGCCACTTAATTTTCAGACCTCGTATCTGAAGTAAAAAATAAAAGATAGAACAGTCCGTTAAAAAATGCAATTTTGATTAATGGTTCAGAAACGGGGCACCATGGAAAAATGTGAATATTTTTAATACGAGGGATGTCTTTTAAGTTTTGCATATAGAAACATAGTAGGCCGCGCGGATCGAATGTCAGTACTAAATCTTAACCTCACTCTTTAGTAAACTTAAACACAAAGTTTCACAACAAGACAATGCAAGCTCGCACACAGCCCAAAAGACAAGGCAGTATTAACGGAAGAAAACGTGGAATTATGGGACCATCCTTCATATAGTCCCGATCTAAGTCCTAACGATTTCTTTACTTTCCCGAAAATTAAAAACAGACTGCGTGGTCAAAGGTTCCAGTCACCAGAAAAAGCAGTTGACGCATTCAAAAATGCCGCTTTGGATCTGCCAGCAAACGAGTGGAATAAGTGGAGAATACTTCCAAAAACCATAAAGTAATTTAAAACTATCTACCGTGTTGTTTTATTTGCATATCCAAAACTTAAAAGACATCCCTCGTATCCATGCCCAATAATCGACACAGTTTTGCCGTAAATGCTCGCTTTACGATTCTTGGATTCTTGGTAATAGAAATGTATGTTGTGAAACATCAAGCTTCCTATGAAAAATCGAGCATCCGTTAACATAAAAAATATTTTTCATCAGGCGGTTCTTGATAAAAAAATTTATGTGAAAAAATTCAATGGGGTATAACTTATTAGTGTAACTTACAATATAAAAAATAGAACCATTAACATTTTTTTAATTATACCATTATTTTGTAATATCCTTCTATTTGTACCACCAAGAAGGCCTAAGGCCTGAGCAGCCATGGGTACCGTGGGGCTATCGGGGGTTCAGGGCACTGATGCATATTGATTAATTTCTTAAATATGATCCCCCTAAATGCAAATTAAAATAAAAATCCACCTACGGTGCTTTGAAGTCGTTATTCGTCTGAAGTAAATATGTTTCAAAACAAATCGATTACTCGAAGCAGTTAGAAAGTACCTATTCTTCTCTTTTCGAACAATTTCATATCGATGTAAGCTCGATGATGCGTGAAGCAGTTTTTATTGAATTATTGTTTCCGTTGGTCCGTTACCTTATCACTTTTTGTACCTTCACCTAACTGTGAATGAGAATGACTCTTAAAGGATGCCTGCAGTTCATTCTCTCAATCAACTAACTATTTATTGATCAATTAAAGTTAATTGTACTCTATCTTGGTATCGTAAAAAGTCATTGGAATTCTACAGTTCTAATAATTAGCCGATTTTAGCGAATGAGCTCTAAAGTTATAATGATTCAGATATTAATTGTAATAATGCGTTAGTATTAATATTTTGTTTGCTCTCTGAATTTAATTTTAATTGTGTACCTTATACCTGGATTGTTTCTTGCTCCATGTTACGGGAAAAGTTAATATAAGCATGAATGACACGTTGTAATTTTAGGAAACAGGATGTCAAGCTTTTAGTAAAAAATAATTCTTTCCACCGATTATAATAAAACTTGCTTAGGCACATTAGTCATTGCTCAAAAATAAGATTCGAATGTATCTTAATTGATGATTTACAACTTTCACTAATAAAAGATGGACGTTTTTGAAACACACTTATAGGTATTACTCATATTATTTTAGAACAATATGATATATGGGGGTCCGTTTTTGGGTCCTCTATAACTTTAATTTTTTTTATTACTTTAACTTGTGTTTATCTTTGTAATATTGTTAGAAGAACCAAGACACAAATCTAATTACATACAGTAGTGGACAAAATTATATAGACAAATATGAATATTTACCTAAATACCTTTAGAAAACGAATTCATACTTTATTGCTCCATAAACAAATGCGTTATAAGTAGAAAAACCAAATTCCTTGTTTTTACATTATCTGCAATGAACACAATACAAGTCTGAATATAAGCACTTTTTTATGAGGGACAAAAATATGTACAAATTTCTGTTCAACATTACTTCAGTACAGTTTCGTGTCAGAAGAGGATTAGTTTGCGTTCATCAAGTATTGTGGAATACGTTGAGTGATTTTAAGACCATGCCGCATGGTCCAGAAATTTCTTTCGATGTGAAAACTAAGATCATTGAGTTATCCAAAGATGGTCAACATCAAGTCGACATTGCCAAATATTTGAGAAGCTGAAGCGTAAAGCAGTTTGGGCAATATTGAACAAATATAAACAAAAAGGTATCTTGGAAGCCTCTAAGAGAAGTGGTCGGCCTAGAAAACTAAATGCTAGATCAGTTAGGTTAATAATAGTAATTTCGTCCAAAGATCCGTTTAAAACCCCAAGACAAATAAAAGCCGAAATCGAGATAAAAGGAATTGTCAGTGTTTCTACGAAAACTATAAGTAGAAGATTAAATTATTTGAAGTTATTTGCATGTCGCCCGAGTAACAAGCCGCTAATCTCGAGGAAAAACCGTAAGGCCCTATTACAAGTTGCACGGTTGCATCTTGATTGGAGCATCTGTGACTGGAAGAGGGTATGTTTCAGTGACGAATCCATGTTCAATATGTTTGGATCAGATGGTGTTCATTACGCTAGACTAGTGGACAAAGATTGAACCCCAAGTACACTTTGCCCACTTTCAAACATGGAGGCGGGTCTGTTATGGTTTGGGGGTGCTTTTTGGGGTTTGGGATGGGACCTTTTTATAGAATAGATGGCATTATAGATAAGTCTGTATACACAGACATACTAAAGCATGTCATGTTATCCTATATGGAAGACAATACGCCCTCAAGATCAATCTTCCAGCAAGATAATGACCCGAGAGCACACTTCAAATCTCGCAAAGAAATTCTTTCTGGATGAAAAAATACCAGTTCTCAAATGGCCTTCACAGTCTCCCGATATAAGCCCCATTGAAAATCTATGGGAATACTTATATATGCAAATACGAGATATAAATTATTCCAACAAGGATGAACTTTTTGCCGCTGTAGAGCAAAAGTGGAGACAGATTGATGAATCTTATATCAAGAAACTTCTACAATCTATGCCGAGACGATGCCAGGCGGTGATTGATAATAATGGTTATGCTACAAAATATTAACACAAACATGGTTGGTTTTCTATAATTGAATGAACTTTGCTTCTTTTTTCTATAATTGTTTTGCTTTGTCTATATATTTTTGTCCTTCATAGTTCCAGTTTTTTCAATTAATTTTTTATTGCAGGGAGTCTAGTGAATTTATTTATGTATAAGGTATAAGGTGTATTAATAAAACAAGTTAAAAAAGAAATACAGCACAATATTAATTTGTCCATTACTGTATATTCAGAAATTACTATGCCTCTTACTATCCACTTCTTCATAAGCATCCTGGCATGACTGGCGATGTGCTACGCTGCCGAATCTGACGTGTCGTGGGTTGCGGTATTTGCAACGTTGCCAGATGGACGATACTACCGGTAGGCAGGGAAACGATCTGTGTACTTATTGTACACATTCGTAACTATCTTTCTTCTGACTTGTGTTGAACTTAATCTTTTATTCTAATAAAAATCATTCTCTCATCCTGGAGGTGATTACCTCATTTCATAGTCATATATGTTATACGAGGGATGTCTTTTAAGTTTTGCATATGGATATAAAACAACACGGTAGGTAGTTTTAAATGACCTTATTGTTTTTCGAAGTATTCTCCACGAAGATTAATACACATCTGCATGCGCTCGAACCAATTTTCGAACCACTTAATCCACTCGTTTGCTGGCAGATCCAAAACGGCATTTTTGAATTCGTCAACTGCTTCTTCTGGTGACTGGAACCATTGACCACGCAGTCTGTTTTTAATTTTCGGGAAAGTAAAGAAATCGTTAGGACTTAGATCGGGACTATATGGAGGATGGTCCAATAATTCCACGTTTTCTTCCGTTAAAAACTGCCTTGTTTTTTGGGCTGTGTGCGAGCTTGCATTGTCTTGGTGGAGGATAATTCTTCTTTCGGGGTTGATTTTTCGAAGCTCGGTGATGACTTTTGGCAAACAAATGGTGGTATACCAACCCGCATTAACAGTTCTTTGCTCATTAGGAGGAATTGTTGCAATATGACCCGCTTTTGACACAAATGTCGCAACCATCTTTTTCGAAACACTTCGAGAACGGATGACTTTTGATGGCTTTTCTTCACAAACAGCCGACTGTCGTTTATTTTCTGGTTCATAACAGTAAATCCACGATTCGTCACCACTAACAATGCTGTACACATTTTTTGAGTTTCCGGAATTGTTACGGTCAAGCGTTTTTTGACACCTATTAACCCTGGCTGCTTTCTGCTCTTCAGTCAACAGGTGGGGTATCCAACGAGAAACTAATTTTCTTAATCCTAATTCTGCATGTAAAATTTTTTGATTTGAGGTCGTTGAGATCTTCAAGGACGCCTCAATCTCGCGATATGTCACATGTCTATCTTCAATGATGAGTTTGCGCACAGCATCGACATTTGCCTGGGTGACTGCCGTTTTTGGTGCACCCACCATGGTATCGTCGCTAATATTCACCCGTCCACGTTTGAATTCTCCATACCGACGGGAAATTGTCGACTTATGTGGCGCTTTGTTGCCGAAAACAGACAGTAACTCAGCAATGCATTCTTGTTGCGATAATTGTCTCTGAAAGGTGTAATAAATTCTGGCGCGAAAATGTTCTCGGTTGAGATCCATTTTTCTAATGACTTGGTGACACTTAAAAATTCACTGTAGTGAGAATACTGCACGTATTGTTGTGAAACTTTGAATTTAAGTTTGCTAAAAAGTGAGGTTAAGATTCAGTACTGACGTACGATCCGCGCGGCCTACTAGGTTTCTATATGCAAAACTTAAAAGACATCCCTCGTAAACAAGCATATGGAGGACCATCATTTTTTGTATACCTCATTGAAGTAAGATCTTTTATTTCTGCAAGGAAAACAATGATATATTTTAGTAGACTTTTTCTATGGCAGGCAAAATGAAAGTTCTAAATTTGATCAGAAATACCCAATTACATTTTAAAATCAAATACATTAGTTAAAGATGCATTAGGTGCTTCAAGAAAGAAACAGAAAATATACAGTGGTTTTCATACTTATTTTTTCAACAGATCATGTTAGCAAGCTGAAATTCGGGATAATTAGATGGATAAATGACTGCTACATTTTAGCATAACGTAGGTTCAAAATGGTAGCTGGACGAAATCTTGATAATTTTTATGTGCAACGGGGGGTTATGTGATACCTCATTTTGAAGCTCCTTGTTAGTACTTTGTGAGCATAGAATATAAAAATACTATCTTTTAAAACGGCGGCCTGGCCGGCTGTCAAACTAATCATCAAAACGTTGTAGTATGTTGAACTTTCTTTCACATATGCAACCAACAGTGCGTGTCGTTGAGTCATTTCTCCATAGATGGACGCTCCCTATGTTCATAGTGAGCAAACGTCGAATGAACTATTAGCACCATAAAAGCTGCCTAGACTGCAAGATGACATTCCGTCGGTTTTTTTAGGTTTTTTATTTAATAGCCGTGAGAGTACTTGTAGACATACCCTGTGCGGTTGAAATATTGTCAATATGTTTTGGATCACTCTATAAATCACATCTATAAATATTACTATCGAGAATCTATACTAAGTGACATATAAATCCGAACACCCAGTTTAAATAGTTTTATTTTAATAAAATTTTGTATAAGTACTTAATGAAGCATAATAAGTAAATGATAAAAATTTAAAATGATTGCACTGCTTTAAAGCCCTTTGACCTTTAATAATGTGTGGATGCACCCTGATGTGCTACGCATTCTCCAACGCGCCTAGGCATGCTTCTGATCAGGTGGTCAATGTCCTCCTGTGGTATCCCATTCCAGGCAACCACCAACTCCTCTCGAAGTGCTTCTAGAGTCTGAGGAGGACGTTGCAAATTGAGCAATCTCCTACCCATCATATCCCACACGTGCTCAATTGGGGATAAGTCGGGAGATCTTGGTGGCCATGGTAACAATGTGACATCATTATGTTGAAAGTAGTCTATTGTGACTCTTGCAACATGTGGTCGGGCATTATCTTGTTGGAAAGTTGGATCTGCCAGGGTGTCAAGATAGGGTAAAAGATGGGGTTCTAGAACTTCGTGGATATAACGCTGCGCGTTCATGTTACCTCTGATGAAGATTAAAGGTGACCCGGAACCATAAGCTATAGCACCCCAAACCATAACTCCAACAGTGTGATGAACATGTCTTTCAACAAAAAACTACCACTCAAGGCGATTAGGTCGGTGTTCTCGAGTTAAAGGGAGGACCCAGTGTGGCCGGTATGAAAACAAGCCAAAACTTCTCATTCATCGGTAAACACTTCGCATGCCAATAGGTCTTCCGTGTTCTGCAAACCATTCATTTGCAATGGACCTGGTAGTGGAGAAACGGTCTCTTAAGGCCAATAATCTTAGGCGGCGATCTTTACGGTCTGTTGTTCTACGGCGGCGTCCAGTGCCCCTTGCTCTTTGCGTACGGCCTTCTCGCAGCCATGCCTGACAACACCTAACCACAGTGTCTACACTTCTTTGCACTCTAACTGCAATTGCCCGAAAAGAAAGTCCAGCATCCCGAAATCGTACAGGTCTCCGTACTCTAGGCATCGTAACCGATCGTAAAGGATGTCAAGAACCAAAATCCGCCAACGTTGCTTCTTTACTGCGGCTGAAATATTCATTTTTAGAGCGTTAGTGAATTAAAAAAAAGCAGTATAAAAACCGGAATGTCCAACTGATAAGGCTGAACATTTTTTCACTTGTTATTTACAGTAAGATAAATACATTCACCAACTTTTATTAAAATAAAACCATTCAAACTGGGTGTTCTGATTTATATGTCACTTAGTATATTACATTAAACTTCGATGTTACACCACTGCTCTGAAAAACATTAGTATTACATACGACATACAAAGTATTTGATAGCGCCACATACGGGTAACGTAGTTATTAACTTTTTTCTTTCAAGCTGTTTCTCAGTTTGACCTTGTATCCTGCCGTACAAAACCAATTTCGTCCTAACATGGCAACGATTCATGTGTTCAAGAAAGTTTAAGTAGAATGTCAGCCAGCGAGCTAGATAGATCGATAAGCTCGAGCTGAACAAAAAGTCACGGCCGTCACTGTAACTTTACAGGTCAGTAAGCAAATCAAAAAGTTACAGCGATGGACATTACGGAAAGGTCAGGCTAACGTTTGTGAGAATAATAGTTTAGTATACAATTCCGATAGGAACGATAAATCGAATATCACATTTTATGGACGAATAATAAACTTAGCACGTAATACTATGGATTCATTTATTTCAATTTATAAAAACTTCAGGTTGATTAAAATTTTTCAAGTGCGATTCAAAAGACAATTTTTGGAAATGCCTAAAGATGATGACGTGATGTTTCTTGGGTATGTACCCCTAAACATGATTAGAAACCCAGACAACATGACACAGAAAACTGCATCTACGTCACGCCATCTACATTCAGACACTCGAGAAATTTACAAAATAAAGTTATCAGGCAAGCACGACTATATTTCGAGAGGCTGTTTGTGGCCCAAAAAAAAAAACATTTCTCTAGAACTGCAACCTTTTCCCCTATTACAGTTGTAAAATATTGATAATTCTATGCGTATAAATGCACCGCCTTATAGCATATAATGATGTCTAACATTCTGGCAACGTGGGAGCGTTTCACAATCAGTTCAATCGGAACTAGTAGAGAGCATTTGTGCTACTTTATCGCTTTAGAAAGGCAAAACTGTCGTTTGCAGCTAGCGGTTGAAAAACGTTCTTTGCGCAACAGAATAGGGGCAAAAAATGCGCAATATATTTTGTTGGTAGCTAAGTATTATCGAAATCGGTGCAGATGTTAGCAAAATTACACGGCGGCAACAAGACTGCGAACGACAGAAAAGCTAACGGAAGTATTTGACCTAAATTATCGTGATACAAAGGCCATAACTCACTGCAAAACTTTATTATCCTATATGCAAAATTTCACCTTACTTACTTGTCTATGGCTTAGGGGGTAAAAGTACACTACTTCTTAACCGGTGGATAGACTAATCACTCTTACTGTTGTCAGGGTTTTTATTTAGAAAACCAATTATGGGTTTTTAAGTCCAATGCTGTAAAGAAATGGGAGTTGGGGTAGAATAGAAAGTTTAATTACTTTTCTTACTGCCGTAAATAGTTATCCCATCTATACAGTATCTTCATACAAGCATACAATTGTACTCAGTCGGGATCACAAAACATCCTCAAAAATAATGCAGTTGCTGCTGGGAAATATGTACAGAGTGGATGGAAAATATTGCTCTCCAGTACACAGTATCAATTACTATGTAAAACAAATCTGAAGTTACCCATCCATATTTTGAGATATAGATAAAAAAATTTGGAAAAGCGAAAGCAGTTTAAAAACACTGGACTGTTTTTACTTTCTTAGAAATCGTCTACGTAAAATTGAATAATAGGCATATTAAAAATGATTAGAATGCTCTAGGGTCTTCATTATTAACCCATTCTCTTTCGTTTTCAAAGTCCTTCCTTATATATCCCAAGCATCGAACATACATACCACAACTGATATTTTTTCCAGAAACATTTTACTAAAAAAAACTTCATGAAAAACAAAATGGCGTCAAGTATGTTATCGCGACAGTGCTGTAAATCTTATATAGTTTTATCGAACCTCGATCCACAGCTCGCATAGTTAGCTAACTAACTAAATATCATTTTTCAAGCAAAATTTGTGAGTTAACCCCGACACAATGTCTGCGGGCGGATAACATCTCTTTCGATTCACGTATTACCGACACCTCACCAGCGGACGAGGCCAGTTTGCGACAGGTTTACATTCTA